AAGGCCAGCGGTTTCAATTCACCACCTGCTCTCTGAGGGAAGTTGGCCTCTGAAAAGATTTGTTGCCTTAGAAACCCTTTGGGGACAGTTCTACTCTGTCCTACCAGACAGACTGGGAATGAATTCCACACCAGTGGCTATTCGGGTGTGAGTGCACACACACACATAGGTATACATATACACATGTGTTGCTAGGTTTTATCTATAGATATAAAAACACATATATTCCTATTCATGGAGCTCTGATGGCACAGTGGGTAAAGCATTGAACTGCTAATGGAAAGATTAGCAGTTCAAATCCATCAGTAGCTCAAAAAAAAACCAAAACAAATCCATCAGTAGCTCTGAGGGAGAAAGTCAAGACTCAGCCCCCTTAAAGCTTTAAAATTTTGAAGACTCCAGGGAGCAGTTCTGCTCTGTACTATAGGGTCACAATTAGCAGAATCAACCCAATGGCGGTGGATATATATATACACCTGTGTCTATAATATCACAATATTGAAACATGAGCTTTCTTCATAAAAAGCATAAACGATAATAATGTTTATATAAAATTTTAGTGAAGAGTGATTTTTAAAATAAAATAAAATATACAGTTTATGTTTTATTTATGCTTGCATTCTGGAATCAAGTAGACATTGAATTTACTAGTGATTTCTAAAAAAAATTAATGTTTCAATGAAAAATGTGCAGAGCCACATTTTTTAAAACAAGTAATATAACTACAATTTTATAAAAAAGAGTCTTTTGGATGGTAAATGATGGATAAGTCAAAGGCTATATTAGCATAACTGTCTCGTGTATCATTTAGTAATGTCAAGGTCTGGCTACTTATTATCATCTGATTTCTGTCTGGAATTAAGAATGACTATTGAATAATACAGGCATTACAAACAACATTTCTTTTCAATATAACTCTATATCTATAAAATATTAGTCTAATTGTGAGACTGTTTGAAAAACATTTGTGAGATCAATGCTGCTTTAAAGATAGATCCTT